TAAGTAATACAATATTACTATATTAGTCGGATAACATAATAATAGTTAAAGATAACTTTAAAGAGACTGATCATGTTATTAATTTGAGACTGGTTAATAACACCGAGTGCTCCAAAGCAGCACTTGACCCATTGCACCTACAGCTGTGTCACAATGACACGTAGTTCACTTTCCTTCCTTCCTTTCCTTATGTATGTGACTGCTTATTTACAGATATTATGAGAACATATTCAGTGCCAGTGGCTGCAATGAGCTTGTGGAAAAGTTTGGTCTGTGGTTCTCTTTGGATCAGAATCTTCGGACTGAGATATTTAGAAGGAACCAGACTGATGTCAAAGATGTGGGATCAATGATCTGCCTCATAAGGTAAGAAAGAGTCATACAAAGTTTATTAAATTGGATTCTATGTTTTATTTGATTTTATAAAATTCCAGCGTGCTCTGCCTAGAATAGAATAGAATAGTCTTTATTGTCCTTGTACAGTGTACAACGAGATTTGAGCGCTACTCGGTGCAAAAAAAAAAAAGAGTAGAAGAAAACAATATATCAAACATATAACAAACATATCTTTGGTGTGATTAGTTATTGCACATAGTTGTTTCTTTATTGCACAGTGATCAATATGATCAGTAAAGTGTGAAATTGTGTGGACTATTTTAACTGGTTTTGTTACTATTGTTCACTGCTGAGATAGCTTTCGGGAAGAAGCTATCTCTGAGTCTGTTTGTCCTGGTTTTGTGTGACCTGTACCGTCTGCCTGACGGTAACATGTCAAACAGAGAGTTACTGGGGTGGGACGGGTCCTTTATGATGTTGCTAGCTCTGCTGAGGTAGCGAGAATTGGCAATGTCCTCCAGGCTGGGCAGAGAGCAGCCAGTGATCTTCTGGGCTGTGTTGATGACTCTCTGTAGAGCTTTCCTGTCTGCAGCTGAGCACCCTGCGTACCATGCTGTGATGCAGTACGTCAGGATGCTCTCTATGGCGGCTCTGTAGAAGGTAACCAGTAGCCTCTCCTCCAAGTTGTTTCTTCTGAGCACCCTCAGGAAGTGGAGACGCTGCTGAGCCTTCTTCACCACCGCTGTGGTGTTTGCAGACCAGGAGAGATCGTTGGAGACGCGCACGCCCAGGAACCTCATGGAGTGGACCCTCTCCACACAGTCACCGTGGATGTAGAGAGGGGCCGGGTCTTCTCTGCCCTTCCTGAAGTCCAGGATGAGTTCTTT